GAGAATAGGTTGCATATAGGAGACAAGGATGGAAGGATAGGAGACGAGAATAGGTTGCATATAGGAGACAAGGATGGGAGGATAGGAGAAGAGAATAGGTTGCATATAGGAGACAAGGGTGTAAGGATAGGAGACGAGAATAGGTTGCATATAGGAGACAAGGATGGGAGGATAGGAGAAGAGAATAGGTTGCATATAGGAGACAAGGATGGAAGGATAGGAGACAAGAATAGGTTGCATATAGGAGACAAGGATGGGAGGATAGGAGACGAGAATAGGTTGCATATAGGAGACAAGGATGGGAGGATAGGAGAAAAGAATAGGTTGCATATAGGAGACAAGGATGGAAGGATAGGAGTAGAGAATAGGTTGCATATAGGAGACAAGGATGGGACGATAGGAGAAGAGGATAGGTTGCATATAGGAGACAAGGATGGGAGGATAGGAGTAGAGAATAGGTTGCATATAGGAGACAAGGATGCGCTGGCTTGTTGAATGAAAAGGACTATAGAAATGTTTAAATGTTTTGGTTTTTTAGGATGGGTTGGAATGAGGGAGCAAGATCAATTTTTCATGGTTCTTATCAACCAGTCAAAACACAGCGAGAGATTCAATCAATTTCACCCCTCCCCCTGAACCCCCGGACCCTCCTCCCCCCCCCTTTACCACAGCCAGGGCGTTAGACCATCCACAGGGGGTCTTAGATACACATACTACACCCATACCGCTGTTAAAACTGCATCAATCATATTCGGGACACCTTACTCACCCTGCAGCCTGCACCTTGCACCCTAAACCTACTAAATACTCAACACATTTAAATGGTTAATTCTTAAAGAGACACTCATTAACATTTGGGGATTTTTTCGTTTAGTTTTGGGTGGACTGTCCCTTTCTGAAAACATAGACAAGTAATAAAGCATAATTTACAGTGATAACCAGAAAACTCGGATATAGGAAGACGACTTTAAGAATCAAGTTATAACTTTAAAACGTCCAATGAACATGGAACACAGCAATTGTGCAGTATGAACAGACCCATTTCACGTAATTTAATAAGCGTCTAGTAAAAGTATTTACTTTGTAACAACATCAAAATCACTTAAGTATTCAATTATTGTCGTCTTTTTATTCCATTTTTTCTGGTGATAACTGTATTAAAACTAAGCATGTATTTATTTTATATTCTTTCATGTTCTTGATTGTATCTTGTTATTCTCTAACTCTTTCCCTATGTAAAGAAGGACCTGGAGCAAAACCTAGTGAAAGAAACCTGATCTATTACACCTGTGCTCCGTCAACCTATGTTGAACGGCAAGCTGCATCTAAAAATAAGAAGTGTACGCGGTCTATTATTGATATTTTTTAACCAGCTTTGGTGAAAATCGACGCATTTTGAGGAATATATTCATCCCTGCTTTATCTAGTGACAGACAGAAAATGGGGAGGGGGGGAAGGGGAATTTTGGGGGGTTGAGCGAATTTTAAAGATGGGGTTACTCAGTGTACAAAATGGGGGAGGGGCGAGTTTACATAAACATGTTTGTAAGTAACAGTAAACATATGGGAAACATTATCTACTATTAATTAATAATCTTACAAAACAAATATTTTAGAGAGAAACAAAGCGATGAAATTTTAATTTATTTTTATTTTTATGTATTTGATTTAGCATAGATAATATTTGGCATGAGGACAATATGGAGTCCGACTGAGAATATAAAATTCCCGCTGTCCCAGTCAATGGTTTGATTTTATTATTTAAATATTTAAATATGGATGAATATGAATATATATACTTGGAACCTAGAACCCTGCAGATGAGAAAGGAAAATGAACATTCCTCAAATATCATTGAAAAGAAACCTGGGACGCGAAACTAGGGTTTCATTAGCCATTACCATGTTTGTCATGTGATTACGTTTGTGACTATTACATTTGCCATAAATAAGAGGTGTTTTGTGGTGAATTCTGGAATAAAAAAAAAGGTTTTGGCCGAGGGGGGGGATTTATTTCTGGGCAAATGCTTGCATAAGATAGGTTAAAGTTTGTATCGGTACCACATGAAATATCTGGCAGTCGTGACAATATCCTGCTGAGATTTTATTGGGCACGTCCCCTCACGTAACTTCAATATTCAGATTCACATTTGTCATCCTAGTCCTGCTGTTCTTAGTCTCTCATCCATACCCATCCTCATCCTAATCCTGCTGTTCTTAGTCTCTCATCTATACCCATCCTGATCCTAGTCCTGCTGTTCTTTTGTCTCTCATCCATACTCATCCAAGTCCTGCTGTTCTTAGTCTCTCATCCATACTCATCTTCATCCTAATCCTGCTGTTCTTAGTCTCTCATCCATACTCATTGCAAAGTTGTGTATGTGGGATGAACAGAGAGAAAGGAAGAGGATAGGAAGGAAGGGGGAAGGAGAATGACTGAATAAATAAATAAATAGATTGATGGCATAAATTTAGTTTATTTAGGATTGATCTGTCGAAACCAACTGCATAGTTCCCTACACTAGGGTAAATGATGTCTATATTCCTCATTTAAAGCGGCGAGTATATCGCCTTGTGTCACGCCAATGCGGGGGGGGGATTGCAGATAGTGATAGGTAGGGGGAAATTTGAGGNCATATGGACTACTTTTAAACTAGGATATTACAGGGGGAGGGGGGATGTATATTATATTGTGGTAACTATGACATTAGAGGCAGAAGGAAAAATAGGTTACTAATTCAGTAATAGATTAATGGGGGGGGGGGAAACTAGGTTCATTAGAACCATTAGAACCCTATTTGTAACCATCAGTAGATATTTGTATATATCAGTGAACAACTCTATCTCTTATTATACATTTTATCTAAAACAGGGTGCTACAAAAACACAAAATGGGAAACTGCCAATTTCCGCGTTCGACATAAAAGAGTTTTTAAAAATAAAATAAAATAAATAATTCAGACAAATAGAAAACTCAAATAGATAACCACAAAGGGTGAGACGTCGAAATTTATTCATTTTATTAAAGCATTCCTTTCCTGGTTCCCTGCAGCTGTATACGTATGTCTTCCGTTGCCACCAATAAGAAAGTATTTTTTGAAAGAGGAATGAGTTTGATTTTAAATCGACCTTTGTGGGTAACTCTGTGGAAAGGAAAAAATAAGAGAGAAGAACAGATAAATAAATAGATTTTTAGATAGAAAGATATACTTGAATTTAGCTCAAATGTCAATTTTGTTTTCACGGATAGTTTGAAATATCCGAGGTTTCTTTCTTGCATCAATTCAAGTTTAGACAAAACAAACAAATATGCGGCGGAAAACCGGTTTTTGCGTCTTCAATTTATATTTGTGTATTTTTAGGTTAAATTAGGTAAAAGCGGGATAAATGTTGAGATCAGTTGATGTTTTGTTCAAAATATCTTGAATGATGAATAAAGACTAATTTATAATCCTAAGTATCGACACAGTGGGTAAAAAGTGACCAGAAATTCAATTTTAATTTTAGATTTAATTTAAGATTTAATTGTCTTTTGTTCGAATAATTACACTTTTATCATCGTTTTATAGCTTTAGTCTCTCTATTACGGCTTTTGGCGTCGGGGTGGGTTAGACAAGACGCAAAAACGCCGAATTTTGATCCATTAAAATTAAAGATGATTACTCGCCCGGAGCAAGTTGTAGTTTAATGTATCTTGGCACGGATTGGAGCTCCGTAGCTCCGTATATACATGAATACATGGGAAAATTTCAATCCAACCCATTTGTTTAATGAAGCCTAACCCAACCACATTTGAAAATGAAATAGGTCTGACCTGTTTACCATGGTTGTAAATATAAAAACCAAGATATTATGACTACCTGCAACCAAAATATTTATTATGCTATGCTACAGGGTGTCCAGACAGCTTCTTAAATATTTTCTATTTTAAGGCACACTGTTCTAGATGTTTGAAATCCAGAACATAAAGTTTCTATTTACTTGTTTGCCTGGTTTAACAAGTAAAATCCCCCTAATTGAGACAATAAATATAATTAATGTACTCTCGGTGTGCAGACACTAAAACTGTAATATTTATAATTGGTTTGTTCCACAAGGTGTCACAAAAAAATTGCAAAATTTGCAACCCAATTTTAAAATCTAAATTCTTTCTTATTTTTTTTGCAGCTCTTCAACGTTTTGTGATATAACTGAAAATCAGTTTTTATTGTTTACTGGGACACCCTGTAATTGTTTTTAACGATATTAAGAAGAGTTAAAACCTGCCAGAGCAGATCAAACTCCATAATTTTTACACAGACAACTATTTTATACTGCAGCGTCAACTTAGATAAAGAAAATAAAAATCGTAAATTACCAAAATGTTTTGTTTTCAATAAGACTGCTGAACTACTCTATAGAAAAAGTAGTCAAACCAGCTTTACCTGGTTTAATCCTTATTCAAAAATATCCATCTCTAGGATCGTGAAGATGATCAGGAGCTGGCGAGTGATCTCCGACTCCCTCGGGACTATCCTTTCTCTTTCCCTGGGTTCGGAGGGATCCCCTCCCTCCCCACCCTGGAGGCGCTCAACAAACAGAAGGAGCTTCTAGGTAAACTGAATTTTTCCGCATTTTAAAAGTTGAATTATAAAAATCATAGTTGGGAATTGTTGTATTGTGTAAATCGAGATCAATGCTTGTTCTTGATCTTTTGTTGATCTGCAGATTAAATAAACTTTACTCGATATCCCGCAAGGTAATTGTATCTTACAGGAAAAACAGAAATGAAGAGATACTTAAAATAAAAGTTCCCAGAGTGGATATCAATATCAATATCCTTATTATAGAGTATCAGAGTATCAAACACAAACTTCCCAGCTCAGAAATTATTGAATAATCTGAAAAATGTATGCATAGTTCAAGATAATATAATATTAACAGTTTTTAAACTCTAACAGTCTTGTATGCCGAGTCCAATAGCGCCTGATCCAATCAGGGTTCAGTCATGTGTTTGTTGTCAATTCTGAACCAATAGAATACTCAAGATCTCAAGATCCAATTAATTAGAGATATGAATCCTTCAATCGGCGATATCATCTAATGGAAATATTTACTTCTAATGAACGTATAGTGCTAAAAGAATCGATTTCTCGCCTCAATCTTTAATTTACTGAATCCTTTATTTTTTTGCAACCTAGTAAAATATTTCAAACTTTTGATCTCTATATCAGGGTTTAACGATATTAGAGTTTGAGGTGAGTAATCAATTTTTATTTCTGATATCTAAGTTCTATTTTTTTGTCTCTAGGTTCGAATATAATCCTTCCTGTCTCTTCCCCTCAAGGACTACTGAAAACTCCTTCCAGCATGTTTCCCCATCATGGTTTTCCCCCTCTCCGACCCCCGTCACAGGTAAACCTAAACCTAAACCTAAACCTAAACCTAAACTTAAACCTAAACCTAAACCTAAACCTAAACCTAAACCTAAACCTAAAAGTAAACCTAAACCTAAACCTAAACCTAAACCTAAACCTAAACCTAAACCTAAACTTAAACCTAAACCTAAACCTAAACCTAAACCTAAACCTAAACCTAAACCTAAACCTAAACCTAAACCTAAACCTAAACCTAAACCTAAGCCTAAACCTAAACTTAAACCTAAACCTAAACCTAAACCTAAACCTAAACCTAAGCCTAAATCTAAACCTAAACTTAAACCTAAACCTAAAATTAAACCTAAATCTAAACCTAAACCTAAACCTAAACCTAAACCTGAAGTTCAAATTGTTTGTGAACATAACAAATATAGTGCAATAAACAGAGCTTTTTTAGTTCAAATTTTACATATTCATGGTTTGAACTTAAAACTCATAATTTAAATACGAATTTATTTTGATTTAAAATCGTAAAAATACTTTTTATTCTATTTAGCCGACCAGCCAATCAAACAGTCCTTCTGATTTTGGAACCCAACAAAACTGGAGTTTTGAAGAACAGTTCAAACAGGTAGATAAATAAATACAAAAAAAGGTTTCTCTTTATTTGAATGCTTTTCTGTATAACTAAAATAGAAAATTGTTATTTTTCTTAAAGGTTTCTTCATGGAGAAGAATTAAGTTAAATCAAAATTATTTTGGTTTAAAAAATAAAAATTTGCACATATATTTGTTGGACTGTGTAGGTGGTTGAGGCTAGGGGAACCCCTTCAAACATATCTGAAAACCTTCAACCCCCCCTCCAACATGTTAGTAACTTAGCATTTTATTGGACTATCAAAAAAAAATTAAATGTTTTCCAAATTTCTAAATAATACAGAAAACGAAAGGGGTATAGGATAAACTTTAATTTAAATTTTCGGAACTATTTCTATTTCTATCTGATGTTTCAGTACATAGTTACAATTCTTTTGTATAGGTGGGTTTATTTGGATTTTACAGCCGGATTAATGATTTTTCGCAAACATTTCCTTTAAATCCTTGTTTTTCTTATGACCCTTTAAAATGTAAAGAATCATAATCCACATTTTTTCCTATTAAATCCGCGAGTTCTTATGGTGTGTATAAATGCGGTTCTTTGTGTGATAATGTGGGTGGGGGTGTGTGAAAAGTGTGAGAACAGTGAACACTGGCAAGAAGATGAGTAAAAACCTTGTTAAAATCACGGAGATAGGAAAAGCAGGATTGGACATTTTATTTGTCAAATCAATTCCCCCCCAAATCTTCTTTATCCATGATAACACAATAAAAAAGTTATCTTATATTGGGTGTGAAAAAAGAACATTCTTAAAAAGAATGGAATGCCCATCCTTGTATTTTCGCTCTCTATGATCTCTCTATCCCGAGTTCATATCTCCAATAAATTAATATCAGAATAAATTATCAGAAAAAACTGACGTCACAACACAGTCCATTGACGAAAGGGGGTAGGGGGATAATTGATAATTGTATTTTTTTCTGATTTACCCTTTTTAAATATCAAATTTGTCAAGAAATTTATGTAAGGCCCATCAAAATATATGGTAGCAGGTTTGACAAATGATTTTTAAACTATTTTTCAGCTTTATGAGATCGACGAGAACCCTAAAAGGAAGGATTTTCTTGACGAACTGTTTGCGTTCATGCAGAAGAGAGGAACTCCTATAAATCGTCTTCCTATAATGGCAAAACAGGTGAATTAAATTTATTAAATAACTTTTCCAAATTTTGAGCATTTTTGTTAGAAACTATGAACAGAATATTTTGGATATTTCTCACACATTTTTATTAAAAACACTGAATATTCGCAATTTCTAACAACATTAATTTTCATCATTCTAAAATAAAATAGTAAGTTCAACATTACGAAAAAAGTTAGGGTAGAGTTTAAAACAATAGATATATAGAATATTGATAACATTGATAAGTTTTTAGAATTTGCCTGAGTCGCTTACTATCTGGCTGACTAAGCAACAAAAATAGAGGCATTTCCGCTATATTTCAAGTTTCACTAGTTTTTTGCGATCTTACATTCGTTGGATTAGGACAAGGTGGTTCAAATGTCCATTTTGGATAATCAGAGAGAAAAATTAAAGAATTTAGGATCCATTATGATTTTTTCATGTCTTTTGAATGACAAATTTTTAAAGAATTTTAGATCATTATTAAAATGCTTTTCACGATTTTCTCTCTCCCGTAAAATTAAAATGAAAATTATTCTGAGATCTGTTTTGTGGGTTTTCTCAGGGCTCTAAAATCTTTAAAACTAATAAACAGTCCTTCAAATATGAAATATTTGTTTAGGTGTTGGACCTGTACGAGCTGTACAACCTGGTGGTGGCCCGGGGAGGTCTGGTGGAGGTTATCAACAAGAAACAGTGGCAGGAGATTATCAAGGGTTTAGGTTTACCCTCATCCATAACCTCGGCAGCCTTCACACTCAGAACACAGTAAGCTTATTTCTTATGAAACGGACTGTTTTTCAATTTTTTCATTGCAGAATTTCTTCTGAAACGGACTGTATTTTATTTTTTTTTACAATGAAGAATTTTATGAAAGAATTTTATTTTAATTTCTTCTGAAACGCACTGAGTTGAATTTTTTTAACTATAAATATGATTGATAGAAGTTTAAGATGAACAGTAGTTTATTTCCGATTATTATCTGTATTTATATACTTGTTGTTCAATGTTTATGTTTTATATTTGTTTTCAAGATTTCCAATGTTTTCAATGTTTTCTGTGTTTACATTTCTTACAAATTCTTTTCTGAGCTTCTGCTTAACTTCTACCCCCATTCAATTCAAAACATTCATTTATCAAACTCAAGTTCTCTACCTCTATAGATAGATAGATATATAAATAGACTCCATAGAGAGATAAATAGATAGATATATGGAGTGTATAAATATATTGTACTCTAGGTACACGAAGTACCTGTACCCCCTAGAGTGAACTCCTATATATATATTGTACTCCAGGTACAAGAAGTACGCATATCCCTTGAAGTTTACACCTACACATATATTGTACTCTAGGTACAAGAAGTACGCATATCCCCTGGAGTGTATTCCTATAAATACATTGTACTCTAGGTACAAGAAGTACGCATATCCCTTGGAGTGTACACCTACACATATATTGTACTTTAGGTACACGAAGTACTTGTACCCCCTGGATTTCACTCCTATATATATATTGTGTACACGAAGTACCTGTATCCCCTGGAGTGCACTCCTATATATATATTGTACTTTAGGTACACGAAGTACTTTTATCCCCTGGAGTGTACTTCTATATATATATTGTACTCTAGGTACACGAAGTACTTTTATCCCCTGGATTGTACTCCTATTTATATATATTGTACTATAGGTACACGAAGTACCTGTATCCCCTGGAGTGCAAGCTGAACAACCTGAGCAACCCAAATGATCTCCAGTCCGCCATAGAAGGGAACAAGAGAGAGGGAAGAACTAGTTCCTATGGACCCTACGGGATGGGGCTTCCTTTCCAGAACTCCCCTCTGCCCCCCTCTATGGGGTCTATGCCCCCCTTTTCGATGATGAATACACCCCCCCGATCCTTACACATGAATGGAAACGGCCGACCAATGCATCCCGGTGAGTAATTTTACAGTTTTCAATAATATTAAACTGATTTCAAGCCTTAAAATCTGGTTTCATATATCTTTGCAACCAGATTGTGTCAATCTTAGATATTTCTAACTTTGACTGTTAAATCTAACGTATAATGATCTAATTGGTGGGACAAGATTCCCGTTGGTGCCATCTTTCTTCTATCTTAGAATTTTGTTCTATTCGATAGAACTTATTTCTCCTATTCTTTTCATTTTTGTCTTATTCGATTTATAATCAATATTAATTGTTAAATTTTGCAAATGCGCAAAATTTCTGGAATAGANGGGGGTAAGAGACAAGAAGTTAAAATATTATATTTACGTCACAAATAGTTCACGGTCTGAGGGATAATAAAGATTGGGTAGAATGAGAACAGGGCACAGAACTCAACTCAATCAACAGTCAAATATGTGACAATATACTGATTGTGTACTAGCTAGAGATACTTAGCGGAATCAGGGAAGGAGAAAGGAGATGAATGAAAACGAAGAAAAAATTGTGACAATAATTGAAATTTTGAGAAACATTATATTGTAACGAAATGAAGTGATCAACGAGAAATGAAAATAGATAGAATCATAAGAAGAAGATTAGATTTTTTCATAGATTACAGCTGAGTAAACCATCTATCTATCTAATAACTAGAATTTAATTGTAAATGAAAATATAATTCAAAAAGACATGAAAACTATCAAAATGCATTATTTTGTAAAGAATGGATTAACGTGTATTCTAAGCAATGAAAATTATTGCTGCAGGGGTTGCTAGGAGGAAAATGAAATCATGTTTTAAATATATATAATATATATTTCAACTAGTTTATCAACATCTGGCCAATTTGATAATATTTGATTTAAAATAGATAAAATTATGCGGGAAAATAATGCCAAATTCAGTATTTTTGTAATAATTGCTCTTCATCATCAATTAATTTTCTTTCGAATCTTTTGATTTTTAACAAATTATATTCTTCATGAAATATAGAAATAAATCTCAATTTGCGGCTTGTATAGGGGTTTAACATGAAATCTACATTTTGAGATATTAAATCTTTTAGCAATTAACGTGAAAAAAGACGATTAAAGATTTAAAGAAATATTTTTATGAATATACACATATTGCAGATGTTAACAAATAAAAAGTAAGTAGAACGGGGGGGGGGTACAAGAAAGTGGGTAGGATGGATGGAAAAGGGTAAAGAAGGACAAGGAAGAGAGGGGGGAGAAGGAAAAGGAAGGGAGGTGGATTGATAAGGACTTTTATTGTCTATTGTTAATGTTTGCTCAATATATGACTTAAAAACCTGAATCCCGGAAGCATGAATTTCCCTTAAAAACTCCAGGTTGGGGTCTGACACCCATAAACCCCGGAGCTGGTATCCTGTTTAAACCCGTCCTGTCGGAGCCAGGTTTATCTAATCAAATTAAGGCCTGACAATGGTCTCTCCTTCTACCCTTCCGATGCAACAAATATTAAAATTACATTCTCGTGAAAATTTGTGAACCACAAACGGTTATGGTTTCCGCACCCAGTGCGGTAATTACTAAACATTACAAACCTAATCCTGGCCCAGCCGGCTTTTAATAACTTGTCTTTTACTCCCAGGAATACCTAGGCATGGCAGGAACATTTTCCAGTGGTTTCTTCACAGCTCAGAGAAATATATACTAATCTAATTATATTCATTGCAATTTGTACTATTTCGCGAAATGTTTTGCGCATTTCGGTACAAGCAGAGTTGAAGGGGGGTAAAGGGGGGGAGGGTTCTTGAAATATCATTGAGCGCACGAGAATAATAAAATAGAGGCAACAGTGCGCGGCGGTAATTTTAATGGGTTTGTTAAACCTAATCCATTGAAGCAGAGGGTTTGCATTTCTCATCCAACCATGGCAAACAGAAATATTTATAATTAACTTGGAAGGCTCAAGTCATTCATTTCTTATCGTCACTTTGGAGTCATAGCTTCATATTACTGGTACCAAAAGCTGCCTAGAGCTTCTGAAAGTTATCTATTTAGAGCTGCTAAAAGCATCCAAAAATTGCTAAAAGCTTCCAGTATACTTAAATGTCTAACTTTTAGCTGCCTAGATGTCTTGGTTTTAGGAACATTTAATTTCTCCTATCCACCTAGCTGCCTAAGATCCCACTTCCTAGCTACACATATAGCTCTCCGGCTTTATAACTGCTATATCCACTAACAACATTTTATGCATATAGCTGCCTAAATGCATAGCCTTCATAGGTAGATAGCTTCCTTGATGCATAGATATATAGTTTTCTAGCTAAATAGCTGCCTAGATACAAAGCTTTTTATCTATTATAGTTGTCTTGATGCCTAAATGCATAGCTTTCTAGTTATAATAGTTACCTTGATGCCTAAATATATAGCTTTCTAGTTATAATAGTTACCTTGATGCATAGATACAAAGCTTTTTAGCTATTATAGTTGTCTTAATGCCTAAGTACATAGCTTTCTAGTTATAATAGTTACCTTGATGCATAGATACAAAGCTTTTTAGCTAAATAGCTGCCTAGATGCCTAGATAAATATCTTTATAGCTATTACAGTTGCAAAGATGCTTATATACATAGCTTTCTAGCTATTAAAGTTGCATAGATGCTTAGATACATAGCTTTCTAGATATTATAGCTGCCTTGATGCAGAGATACATAGCTTTCTAGATAAATATCTGCATAGATACCTAGATACATAGCTTTCTAGCTGAATAGATGCCTAGATACATAGCTTTCTAGCTGAATAGATGCCTAGATACATAGCTTTCTAGCTGAATAGATGCCTAGATACATAACTTTCTAGCTGAATAGATGCCTAGATACATAGCTTTCTAGCTGAATAGATGCCTAGATATTGTCTGTTTTATACAAGTGTAGTCATATTAAGAAGTATAAATCAGCAAAAGACAGGGAGATTGGAACAATTGTTTTTTTTCTGAAATATTTTTCGAATTATTTAATATTTATATACACATAAATGATATCCAATGATTGATAAAGACAAAATAATATTATAATTAGACAATTATTCTTTCAATTTGGATTTATTTAGGATTCAACATAAAGTATTCTTATTACTACTAGGTTAACAATTAGATAAAAACAAGTAGAGATATATTTTTTGTTATTTGAAATTTACTTAATTACAATTGATAGCAATCTCTTATAATAAAATGAATTCAATTCAATTAATTAAAGGAAAAGGGCTTTAACAGGTGCGCTATAAATGACTTAAGATTGCGGAAGATGTCGGGGTTTGAAAAGCTTGAAAAGAGATAAATTTCGTAATTTTCTTCCTTCTTATTATCAATTTACAGACAAAAAAGGAATATCTCCGTCAGTTTCGTTCAGACAAAGGTTTAAAAAGTACTGTCGTTAATGGGTTCACCTGAAATTACGTGAATAGTCCCTTTAATATAATTATATTTTAGGTTCAAGATCTCCCCCTGGATTACCAACAGGACCCCAGGATCCACTCTCAGCCTTTGAAATGACACGTCTTGCTCTCTTGAAGGTAGAGATGTTTATGGGACAACATGTAGGAATTAAAATTAATATAAACATCAGAACGGAATTAATGAATAGTTAGAAGTAGTTGAACTACGTGTGGATAGCTCACCTACTTCTCTAAAGTAGCATAATAGTAGCTTGTAGTTCAACTAGCCACAGTTAGTTACACTATTTCTTACTATTCATTAAATCCGTCATCTGAACAAATTTTTATAAAATACCCTTTTTACATTTTCACTAGCTAACCTGATATTACTCTAGATGTACAACCAGAGCGGGATGGGTGGAGAGCAACTCCGTTCTCCGTTATCTATGCCAAACCTTCCCCTGCCTCCAGATCTACCAGGGATGCACATGCAGGAGAAAGCTTTAAATCTCCAGGTACTGATTAGAACACTGCTCAATGCAGGGGGGGGGGGTTATTATTTGAGGATCATTGATTTTAAATTTAACAATTTTACTAAATGTATGTTTAAACATTAATACTCCAGGTTGAGAGGGAGAGACAAGAGAGAGAAAATTTCCGACATCATGAGCGGGAAAAACGCGAGCATCGCGAGATGGAGGAGAGAGAGAGAAACATGAGACGTGAGATTGAGATGAAGAGAGAGAGGTTGGGAGAGGAGAGGATGGAGAAGGTTGTGAGGATTGATAGAGAGGATGAGGGAGTATCTCCACCTCCCTCTAAGAGGATGCACCATGATGAGGATGAGGATGAGGATGAGGCTGAATCTCCAACTCCTCTTATAACTGTTGCTGCTGCTGCTACAAATATAAAGATTACCAGCAGAGGTCAGTATTTAGTATGTATTTAATCTCATCAAAAATCAAAAAATCAAAATTTTCTTAAAAAATGTATGAACAAATTTTGTTAAAGAAAGACAAATAATGTTTTGAATTTTTGTTTTCGTTTAATTACTTTTTATTCTGACCTTCTCTACAATAAGCATATTTTTTTTATATAATGTTTTTTTCAGGTGAGGGCAACGAGAGTTCTCTAGTCGTTTGTATGGAACTAAATGGCCAAACCTACCAGGGCATTCTCTTCCAGAAACCAATCTAAACCCGGTCATATTGTTGTACAGTTGTACATTCAGCAGTACACTACACATCACGTATGTACGTGTACAGACTGTAAAGTGATTTAAAAACTCTAGGTTTGAACTACAACTAGTGAATTTTAATCTTTCCTCTATCTCTCTCTATATCTCTCTTCAATTTAAACCAAAATTTTAAGAATCTCTTCACGCGAAATTTGTTTGATTTTTTTCGTAGATTTTCCACATTCTCTCGTGTTCCCCCCTTGCAGGCTGTGAAATATTGAATATTATTTGACTAATTATAAATTTAAGTTCGGTCAGAGCAGAAATTTTTTCAAGCAAAAATATTTCCAACTGGATTTAAAAAATGAAAACCAAATGATTTTGCTCTGACTGTATCCGTATCCTAAACTGTAACTGTAGTGTATAGTGTATATATACTTCATATACTGACCAGTTGTTAAAAAAACCAATGCTTAATTGCAACCAGAACGAAACCAGTTTAATGTAAACAATTTCTACTGTTATGATAAACTCAAAACATGTATAAAGATCCTAAAACTAAACATAGATTTAAATATTCACATTTCCCACCACAGTTTCTTGATGTTAGAAAATTAGATAAATGGATGTATTGCTCTTTGTGAATATATTTACATGGTTCCTAATGCGTGTACAAAGTACGTTATTACATGTTTACTGTTACATGTACAGATTAACATGTATAATTTTAAATGTACAATTTCACCTTTTTAATCTTTCTTTTCATAATATGCTTGCTCCCTTCAAACCCAATATAGTATAGAACAGGGTGACCCTGGTTTAATAAGTACTGTACAGTAAACAGGGTGAACACTGCAATATACAATACTGTACAGTAAACAGGGTGAACACTGCAATATACAATACTGTACATTAAACAGAGTGAACCCTGATATACAATAATGTACAGTGCACAGGGTGAACACTGCAATATACAATACTGTACAGTATACAGAGTGAACCCTGATATACAATAATGTACAGTAAACAGGGTGAACACTGCAATATTGAACCCTGATATACAATAATGTACAGTAAACAGGGTGATCACTGCAATATACAATACTGTACAGTATACAGAGTGAACCCTGATATACAATAATGTACAGTAAACAGGGTGAACACTGCAATATACAATACTGTACAGTATACATAGTGAACCCTGATATACAATAATGTACAGTAAACAGGGTGATCACTGCAATATACAATACTGTACAGTATACAGAGTGAACCATGATATACATTAATGTACAGGAAACAGGGTGAACACTGATATACAATACTGTACAGTTTACAGAGTGAACCCTGATATACAATAATGTACAGTAAACAGGGTGAACACTGATATACAATACTGTACAGTATACAGATTGAACCCTGATATACAATACTGTACAGTATACAGAGTGAACCCTGATATACAATAATGTACAGTATACAGAGTGAACCCTGATATACAATATTGTGTACAGTGTACAGAGTGAACCCTGATATTCAATACTGTACAGTATACAGGGTGAACCCAGAGCCCAAAACTTAAGACAGGGTATCATTGTGAAATCCAGGTTTAGAACCCGGGTTTTGTGAATATCGATATATTTGTTCTGAAATATTATTCTATTTAGTTTATTCATATTATCCCTTTTTACGAATCTCTTAAATCAAAATCTACACAAATATTAATGTTAATACCCCAAAAGGAAACTTGGGAATTTCGTTCAACGATACTCTTTTAAATTTCGGGCTCTGGATAAGAGTACTGTACAGTGTACACTGTACAGACTGAACCCTGAATTAAAGTACTGTTCAGTGTGTACAAGGTGAACTCTGATTAAATTATTGCTGTGAACCCTGATCTTTATTACTGTACACTGTACAGTGTACAGGGCGAACCCTGTTTTATGGTTAGGGCCCACCCTGTAATTCAATGTGTGCCAAAGTACTGTAAATTGATTAATTAATGAATCAATAAATGAATGTAATTTGAATATTGGTTTATGTTCTCTATAATTTTGAATCATTAGGAGACTAGAGAACTCTAGTTAGAGGTTTACAATTAAATACCGACACAACAGCAGACAGACATACAAACAATTATCTTTATATTTACTTTTTACAATTTGTTTCTAGAATACAAACAATTATCTTTATATTTACTTTTACAATTTTTTTCTAGAATACAAACCATTAACTTTATATTTACTTTTTACAATCTTTTTCTAGAATACAAACAATTAAATTTATATTTACCTTTTACAATCTTTTTCTAGAATACAAACAATTAACTTTATATTTACTTTTTGCAATTTTTTTCTAGAATACAAACAATTAAATTTATATTTACTTTTTGCAATTTTTTTCTAGAATACAAACCATTAACTTTATATTTACGTTTTACAATCTTTTTCTAGAATACAAACAATTAAATTTATATTTACTTTTTGCAATTTTTTTCTAGAATACAAACAATTAACTTTATATTTACTTTTTACAATTTTTTTCTAGAATACAAACAATTAACTTAATATTTGCTTTTACAATTTTTTTCTAGAATACAAACAATTAACCTAATATTTGCTTTTACAATTTTTTTCTATAATTAGAAATTATTTTTGAATAAGAAAATTATCTCAGCTTCTTTATCCCATGTAGAGATTTCATTGTCGAAGTTCTTTAAAAAATTGTTTTTTTTTGTAACAATTGTAAAAATAAATAAAGGGAAAATACGACGTTCTTTCTGTTACAAATCAAGTCATTTTGATATAAAAGAGTGCAAGAGTGCAATTCAAAGATAAAGGGTCTGATTTTATTTTCCAATTTCTGAAAAGTTACTTGCAGATTTATATATTTTAATCACTTTTTAATCTAGAAAAACGACAATATCTTCCACATTTTTGATCAGATAAAGATTTCAAGGGTACCGTTGTGAATCAGGTATGGAGGGTCATTTGGAATTACGCCCACAGTCCCTTTAATTGGTATTTCTACATGGACAAGACAAGGATAGATCGCGCTGTTTCTAAATTAATATTCCTTGCTTCCTGTATTCTAGACAGAGAGGAAGGGTTTTAATAAATTAAATAATCAATTTACCCGGGGCGTATGCATAGGGTGGGGGTTGGAGGAAATGACGATAGAGTAGGAGGGGTCATATTACTCTTCCTGTGTATATATATATATATATAATGAACAGCATTGCACTGTTTTCGGTGTAACTTATATATAGAATTCAAAACTTAGAATTCACAACTTAGAAGTCAGAACTTAGAAGTCAGAACTTAGAAGTCAGAACTTATTAAGCAACGCCGCTTACAACAAATTTTGGCAGAATTTTAAAACTTTTATGGAATTGGAAATAAAATTTAAGCGATATTCTCGTGAAATTCTTAGAAAATACTTAATTTACATTTTGAAATGAGCATAACAATCAGGAAAAAAATTAAGAAAAATTAATAATTACGTAAAGCAATTGGTAAGTGCGACTAAATTGTCGATATTATAAAATATTTTCCAAATTTTCAAGTTCGATAACAACTAAAGGGAGGGTTCTCAAAAATAAAGGTGTTAAAAGATGAAATATAATTAAAATATTTAGAAATTGGTTGAATTTTCATTTCTTTCCGATATTTCTGTGAAAAAACCGTTCTTAACGCCCCTCTCCCTCAAGTAGACCGTGGAGAATACAATACATAAAACATACTCTATATCACATAGAAATAAAAATATTACCGATCGAATAATAATATTTAATAGGGTTCATTAGCACACTATATCAATAAAAAAATCAGAATCCTAGTTCTTTTTTGATACTAGAAAATAGTCACTATATAATATCTCCATTACTGGCTTAAGTAGTATTTTGGATACAAACCTTGATTTGTAGTTTTAAGGTGGGTTGAGATGTTTTTGCCATTATTTTTTCTATCAATTAGTCTTATAGCTTCCTGGTTTTTACATTTTTTGGGTTTTTAGCCATCTTCTGTGTTTTTTAGCAACAAAGATCTTGAATATAAACACCAAGTTATAAAACACATTTAACTCTGCGATTAAATCCAGTTTGCCCGCGGTGCCCATTTCTAGGATTGTCTGGGTAAAATTAGCCCCCGGGCATCAGCCTTTCAATAAAAGGGTTTATATAATTATTGTCTATTAAACCTCTAGGAACCCAAGAAACCTTCAAGTTTAATTCTTGTCCTTAATCTTTATCACTTTTTCTTTTTTAAATAATTCTTAAAACGTGATATTTAATAAGTTTTCATTTAACATTTTAAAAACATGTTTTTGACTACATCCCTTTTAATGGTACTGAATAGTCCCTTTTTATTCGTATTGAGTAACCGCAAAGTAGTTGAATTTTCCTAAATTATCCTTGGGAATTAGAATAAAAATACCAAAGTATTTTATTCTACCATTTATACTGAAGAATTAGGATGGGGTCCTTGTCCTTTTGCTTTGATTTGAAAAGACAGAGAAATATGTTGTGTCTCTCTAGTCTCTAGTATCCTGTATAAGGGTCCGAACTGATTGACATTTTCTTTGTTTAAATATTGAGAATGAATATCTGAAAATAGGGACCTCGGGAAAAATCACCACCCCCCCCCCTCCCCAGGCATATTGCCTAATTTCTACTATGTGATGAATTAAAAATTTTTAAAAATGTTGATTCTCGTAAATAACACATTTTTTTACATATTTTGTATTGCGCTCTAGTTTGCAGTTTATCCGTGTGAGAGATAGCTTTGCAGATGTCAATGTCACCTCATATAGTTCAGGATAAGGTTCAGATAAAGCTTGCTCCAGGTCTAGGGTAGAGTACAGGGTAGAACGAACCTGGAGTTAATGCATCTTTCCTGATGTTCCCACGCCCACTGATGGGTCAACTGCAGAAGGAGAATATGATCGTTCATCACAAAATAACTCTCGAATTATTTCAAAACATGTTTGAAAATTGTTTTTTCAGTCTTAATTTTTTTTATCAAAGAAGTTCTTGAGGAAGGGATGTATCATATTCATAAAGTAGTAATCTGTGCTTAATTGTTAGGATTTCCAATCATAAAACATTAATCCCATGACCGATTTGCCTCAAATTTTGATTGAGAAAATCGTCAGAACCGGGAACAGTTTATATTTCCAGACAAAGCTGGGTTACCAAACTGTAAGTGTAGAATCATCGGCCATTTCCTCCACTGGGACTCTAAACACGGTTCTTTTAGAAAAGTCTTTCCACAAACTCTCATGTTAAAATTCCTATATCTTAGTAACCTGGTGGTGTAGTCTTTGATCTATTTTAAACTTGAATTAGGCTCTAGGGTCTAAGGCATTGGGTTACACAAATATAGGAATTAGAAATTTGAGTTTGCGGCAAAGTCCTTTAAGTAATTTTTTTGATTTTGTCAACACTCTAAAGCATTTGGTGATTTTTGATCGATTGATAAAAAAAGAATATTTCCAAAATTACCAAAAAAAAATGCATATAAAAGAATTGAGTTTTTGGCACACACTCTGATTTTCTTATCCCTATATCTTTGCATTTTAATGTCGGAGACCTTAGATATTTCAAACTATCAATCATTTTAGATCAAATTATGATAATTTGAAATATCAAAGGTTTACACCATCAGGTTGCAAAGATATAGCTTTTTAAAATCAGAAAAAACTCAGTTCCTTTGAATTTTGGTTTCAAGGAAATTAAAATAGTTTAATTTTTAATTTTATATTGCAGATTAAAACAAAATTATCACAATTTCTTGGCATACTTTCTAATAACTGTTTCAATAGAGCAAGTGTGGAGTATTGGGCAAAGAAGGAGGGGGGGGGGGCTGAAAAGTTTCAATTACCCCAATTTGTATAATTGTGAAGTTATAAATGACTGCATTGAGTATTATTGTTGTCTGATTTGACCTAATTCCTCCCTCTCTAATATATCCCTAATATTCTTCAGTTAGAACACAGTAGTTCTATTCTAACACACAAACAGTGTTCATACAGACACACACACCAAA